CTCATTGTAAAACAGAAGGTGTCAAAAGGGCTGGATGCAGCTGTAAAAATATGTCTTTTATCTCATAATTTAATATAAAAGTAGCACACCATTCTGATAACATAACTATATTCCCCTTCATTTTGCAGTTCTAGCCATACTGTACTTTATGTTTTAAGGAACATCTCCCATTAGTCAGGGCTGTAACTTCAGGATTCTGCAACCACTGTAGGCCTTTGGGGTTAAATGTGTTTTTCTGGTCATTCCTATGGTGAGTTTTTTTTTTGCACCGAATACATTTCTGCTGGATATCAAGCTGTAAAAGTTACAGCTTTTTTATAGCTAAAAGATCTATCAAAACTTTTTAGTAGGAACTACAATAAGTCCCCTTTAAGACCAGTGTTTATTTCCTAAAACTTCAGCTATTCGGAAAAATTGTATTTATATTTTATTGTAAAAGGAAAACTAAATTACAAATCATTGCTGTAAATATTAATTCATTTTAGTGCTTTTATTTATTTACAACAAAGTAAGGGAGATGAAACCCAACATGGTCTCATTTTAATCATGTGGAAATGTGGAGCTAATTAAAATATGCCAATGAGAGTCAAACTTGAAACACTACGACGTTAATAGTTATACGCTCCCAGTAGAGCTATGTTTCACATGTCTCTAGCGGAGATGTCCCCACAGTTGCAGTGAGACGTTTCTAGCTCAAGATAAAAAAGAAGTCAAATAAATACGGTAAATAATACAGGAACCTAAATCAAAACATGCAGAGGAGCAACAACAAAAAAACAACTGGTAGGCAGGTGTCCTGGGAACTTCTTAAGTACTGAAAAATGTACAATTTTTCATGGGTATTAATAGCCTTGTCATATACGAGGACCAAACTATTCTCAGTCACTTTGTTAAATGTAGACATACATAATTTGGTGTGACATTTACCAGTCATCTACATTTATCTTGCTTACAAAGACTGAACATTTATACGTCTTATTAACAGGTATTATCTTTTAATGCTGCCATGATTATCAGTGAATTTCTATTCTCTGCTGATTTGTGTGGCAGCTTTATATTTTTCTCACAGCCATTTATAATCAAGCTACCTCATAAAATTACAGGTGGTATCACCCTGTTAGGTTGGGGAAATTGGATATTTCAAGGACACCTATGATACACGCTGTAAAGCCCTGCTGCTAGGCTTTTAGTCAAACAGGAAACTGTCCTCAGGTTTGTTTTAATCCAGAGGTTGAGATCAACCCAGAGAGTTTAAAACTTGTGTACTTTAGCTCTGAGTGTTTCTCTAAGTGTACCTCTGTTTGGTATTCTTAGAAAGCATCATAGCTGAAGGTTCCCATGCACTGAAAATGTTAAGAGTGATTACCATTTAGGCTGTAACCATTACAGGCTACGGAGAGTCCTTATCATTGCCACTCCGGGAAGGTCCTTTAAGACTGTTGGAAAATCATTTAAGGTAACTGCCTCCTGAAGCTTATTTAGTGTGATTAGAAGCAAACAAAACACATTTAGAAAATATAAAGCATGTTTTGAAACATCTCACAATTATTGGTTTGATACATCCTTATGCTTAATTGATATCTTCACCATGACTCAGCTATGTAGAATAATAGAAATATGGGAAAGTCCTTGACTTTCTTCCTGAAATGTTTCTTCACAATGCTGCTTAGAGTTAACTTGCCACCAGTGTTTAAGTTCTCATTTAAACCACAGCGCATAATGAAGACTATCTGTAATATGAGATCACTTAACACTGTATATCATACGTGTGTGCATGAAAGGAGCACATGCTGGTTTTTGTTTTTCAATCAGTACATGAGACTAAAAATAACTTGAGCACAAAGCAAAATGTGTGTGGGTTTATGTACAGTATGTGACATTTACACAAGTACAGTGACATTCACATAGAAGTGAGTGCGCTTTTAATAAACAAAGCATCCTTCAGTACAGAATGAGAAAAATATTTTTTACCTGCTTTGGAGTCATGCTTCTCAAACATTTTATGTTTCCTTTACGAAAGTGACTTTATTTGTAATAGGTAAGAAGCAATAATATAAAACTTTATTCAATCTTAATGAAATGTGCTTTATCCATGGCTCCCCAGTCAAAAGCACAGAAACTGAAATGCAACTGGTTAAAATGTAAAATCCAATGTCTAAAGTGGTGTATCAAAGATTAAAAAGTACAAAAAGAAAGGCAGTTTCACTACTGAGCTGGTGAATTTACCTATTTTAAAGTAAAACAGAAGAAAACATGGTGAAAATGTCTTCTGAAGCCTTTCAGTTTAAAGGCTATGTAAAATACAGTATTTACAATATTTTTAACACAACACATATTCTGTCTCAACATTTTCACGTCTATTTGCTTTCACAAATGGAAGACCTTTTCTGGCCATTATCTTTTTTCCATATGTCACGTATCTAAGCAGCTTTAATAATTTTCTTTTTTTCATTTACAAAAACCTACCAAAGAATGAAGTCAAGACAAAAAAAATGTCATACATTTCAGCCCAATATATACAGTATATATATATCAGTATATATATAGATATATATATATAGGCCCTAGAATAATGTCAGTTTGGATATTTGGGTAGAAACGGTTGCTTTAAAGCAGCATTGATGCAAAGGTGCGTTTTGATGTCATTTATGCTTTTCAGCATCTTCCCCAAGTTTCCAGAAGTGAAATGAGACAAACAGAAACAGCCATACTGTATGTAAAGTTAAATTTATGCTAACTTAGATATGTTATACTGGCCGGGCAACTATAGTTTCTGTTATATTGCAAGTTTGATTAAAGCAGACAGACGTTTTAGGTAATCTAGGAGCTGCAAGTGAACTATAGTTAACACAAAACACCTCGGCAGCTACACATGAATGCTAAATGATAAAACGAACTGAAACTATTTATCAGGATAAGACAAAATAAAAATAATATGCCACACATAATTCAGAACAACTTTAACCTAGATTTTCATACACAAAATAGCCATTGCTAGGGGAACCACTGCAGGGATTGGGACGCAAACTCCCAATGTCTTTATTTGGTGACATAAAAGGCTGCTCTGTTTATCTGCACATTACTATTACAAGGACATTTGATTTGAATTGGCATCAATATTAATACAACCAAAATGCATGCACACATAAAAATGTCTGCAATTTATTTCTGCATAAAATGATAGTTAGGTTGTTTGTATGAGTTTGAAATGGATTGTCAAATGTAGTTTTACAGAGACTTAGTTTTTGTCAAGGAAAAAACAGACCTATATGCTACTTATACACTTGGAATTCCTGTTATGCTGTGCATCTATCCTGACATTGTATTAATTTCTGTTCCAGACTGAAGATACACCACCACCAACAACCACCCAGAAACAATGACAGGCCAGCTATACAAGCTTCCTTAATTGCCCACACCAAATACAAAGCTGACTCTCAGGACAAGAAAACTATGCCTTTTTCACCTTAAATACTGTACCTTTATATACTATGTGAACTAGCTGGCAGGAAACTCAGTTGGAGTTTTTTTTTTTTTTTTAAACAACATTGATCTCAATTCTATTTATTTTATTATTCTATGTGAACTAGCTTTAAACAGCCAGCACTTGTGTAAAGTTCATAAGACATTTTATTTAATTTATTTGTTTCCTTTGTCAGGTGTATTTTATTTGTTTTAATGTTCAAAATAAATATGCAAATATTTTTAGAACATCTTCCATGTCTGCATGTGTTCCTTGAAATTGTGTTTTTTTTTTTTTTATCAAAAAGATGAGAGAAAATGTTGAAATGCGTAATAATTTTAGGAAATGTTAAATATTATCTGCTGACAAAAAAGTAAAAGGTTAAAATTATGTCCTGACTAAAACTAGAATAAAATGTTGACAGTTTTTCTTGACTAAAACTATACGAATAAAATTATGTTTTCTTGGACTAAAATAAAGACTAAAATGCTCTGGCTTATAGTCGACTAAAACTAGACTAAATAAAAATGGGATGATGTCGACTAAATATGATAAAAACTAAAAAGCGATTCTGAAACTGGACTAAAACTAAAACTAAATTTAAAAATGGCTGCTAAAATTAACACTACCATAAAGAATACATTATGAATGGAATATCTTCAGAACAGCTCCAAATGACACAAAACTAATATGGGTGAGTAGAACATGGTGTAATAACATAAAATCAAGGGCCCAATTAAAAAAAAACGGTGTTCCCCTTTAATTTTGATAAGGACTTCCCATTTAAAACCCATGTCAAAGAGCTTTCTAGAATTGTTTTCTTTCAAATACAGAATATCGCAACAACTAAAAAGGCTGATCCAAAATGCGACCAGTTTTGATAACAATAAAAAAGAGAGGTATTAGTTATCTTATCTTAGCTTCCCTTAATCGGCTTACTGTTTAAAATTGTCCTTCTCACAAAACAAAACCCCAAATAAACAAGCTTAATCTTATATCACAGATCTGATTGTTCCATATGTTACGAACAGTGTCGGGCACGTTACTTTGAAAAAGTTATTAGTTATAGTTACTAGTTACTTTTCCCAAAAAGTAACTGAGTTACTAACTGAGTTACTCCACAATAAAAGTAACTAGTTCCAAGTAAAAGTAACTATCCCGTTACTTTTGCATTTCTCGACCCCGTAACCCTCACCACCCGGCCCCCACCTTCTCTCCTTGTGTTTCAAAAGCCAGCTGAATAGAGCGGACGACAAAGACAAGTACCTGCAGAGAGTTTTGCATTTATTGCAACTCAACGTAAATGACATCGGGGGGGAAACGCTATCTCATGGGCCTATAAACCCCTTCAGATAACGTTCCCCCTGCTTAACATGGGGGGAACGGTATCTGATGCGGTGTAAATATCATCAGGCTGCATTACCTCTACTCATGGGTGTGAACTTTTTTAACAGTTTAACTGTTGGGCTCTTTTTGGCATCAAGACAATTATTCTTATTGCCACATTGCCAGAGAGGAAACTGTAAAAAAAAAAAAATTGTTTTATGTCCTACCCTGCTAAAATAATAATAAAAAAAGTTAAAGTAACTAAATATGATTAAGGAAAAGCCAAAAACTGTTGAATTATTTTTTCAGAGTATGTAGAACCTACAGCCAGGCTTGACTTATGTGGGCGGAGTTTATAGTTCCCGCCCAGATAGTTTAGAATTCTGATGACATCATCACAGACATCAGAATACTACCAAGCATTCAATTTCCGGAATTCTCCTGTAAGGTGTGCAGCTCTTGAGTTAACTCCTTGTAATTAGAAAAGTAAAGACTTTTCCACAGAACAAATCTGCCCAGTTATCAGAAAAATAAGCTTTTAGTTTAAAACAAAGCTTTGTGTTTTAATCCAACCAACAATTTTATTGTTTTCCTTAGGAGGCTGACTTGAATCAGCAACTAAGGCTGGAATTGACCAATTCGTCCTTTTTCATTTGCAAATCAGGTGAATTAAACGTTATAGCCGCCATGTCAACCATATCTAAATCAGGTAATACTATGGGAGTTACATCTGGTAGCACAGCTACAAACCCTTCTGGAAATGTGACTTGGGCTCAAGTTCTTACAAGTAAGAAAAAGCCAGAAAATGCTCCAAAAATAGCAGCGGGACCCACTTTGAGTCAAGTTTGTGCTTCTAAGCCTGTGGTGAAGCCATTGCAACCAGCCCCAGCTCGTGTTGAGGGACCAGCTAAAGCTGCAAAGCCTGAAAATCCAGGAAGAAATCCACTTTCACAACTTCAAAGTGAGAAAGCTGTTCATGGAGGACATGGAGCTGACAAAAAGACCGGACGTAATATGATTTCTAAGATTGAGTTTCACAGAGCCTTAAGCTCCAGAGACTGGTTGATCACAGAACTTCAACATCAAAACAGGAGTTTAGCCCAACATACCAATGATCTCACTGCTGAGCTCAACAAATTAGAGGAAGCTCGTCAACATACCAACGAGAAAGCTAGGCAGCTGGAGTCTGAGCTAACTCCTAAAAGGAAAAAGGGTCAGAAGGCTGGGATCTGTTTAAGCTCAAAAGATTTGAGGATCATAGCTTCGCTACAAGAAATCATCAAGTTATCAGGAACAATTAAGAAAAATGTTGCTGTGTCTTTGGATGCAGGGTTTGGATATACCGATGAGAAAGCTAGGCAGCTGGAGTCGGAGCTAACTGCTGAAAGGAAAAAGGTGCAGGAAGCAGAGACCTACTTACGCTCAAAAGATGAGATGATCACAGCACTGCAACAAGAAATCATCAAGTTATCAGAAACAACTAAGAAAAATGTTGCTGTGCCTCAGAAAATGGATGCAGGGTTTGGATATACTGATGAGAAAGCTAGGCAGCTGGAGTCGGAGCTAACTGCTGAAAGGAAAAAGGTGCAGGAAGCAGAGACCTACTTACGCTCAAAAGATGAGATGATCACAGCACTGCAACAAGAAATCATCAAGTTATCAGAAACAACTAAGAAAAATGTTGCTGTGCCTCAGAAAATGGATGCAGGGTTTGGATATACCGATGAGAAAGCTAGGCAGCTGGAGTCGGAGCTAACTGCTGAAAGGAAAAAGGTGCAGGAAGCAGAGACCTACTTACGCTCAAAAGACGAGCTGATCACAGCACTGCAACAAGAAAACATGAAGTTATCAGCAACAATCCAAAGTTTTGTTGCCTTGCCTCAGAAAATGGAGACAGCGCGTCAGAATACCCACGAAAAAACTAGGCAGCTGGAATCTGAGCTAACTGCTCAAAGAAAAAAGGACCAGGAAAATGAAATCTACTTAAAATCTAAAGATGAGAAGATCGCAGCACTTCAACAAGAAAATATTAAATTATTAGAAATCTGCCAGAGACAAGCTGCTGATCTTCACAACATGGAGGCAGTGTGTAAAAATGCCAACGAGAAAGCCTGGCAGCTGGAGTCTGTGCTAAATGCTAATATGCAAAGGGTGCAGGAAGCTGGTTTCTGTATTAACTCAAAAGATCAGGAGATCGCCGCACTTCAACAAGAAAATGCTAAATTATCAAATTACTTGCAGAGACAAGCTGCTGATCTTCACAACATGGAGGTAGTGCGTAGAGATGCCAACGAAAAAGCCTGGCATCTGGAGACTGCGGCAACTGCTTTGAAGCAAAGGTTGCAGGTAGCTGCTATCTGCATGAGCTCAAAAGATAAGGAGATCGCAGCACTTAAACAAGAAAACATCAAATTATCAACAAACCAGAAGACGCATGCTGAGCACGAAACAATGCCAAAATATACCGACGAGGAAGCTAGACAGCTGGAGTCCACGGTAACTGCTCTCAAGCAAAGTGTGGAGGAAGCTGAGATCTGCATGAGCTTAAAAGATGAGCAGATCGCAGCACTTAGTGAGGAGACTGAACTATCAGCTCAATGGTTAAGGGACGCTGAGCTCAAGTTAAGGTTCACAAGAGAGAGGGTAGCAACACTTCAACAAGAAAACACCAAATTATTAGAACAAATTAAGAATCTCACTGTCTTGCCTCAGAAAACGGAGGCAGCTGTTCTTGCTGAGACAGCAAATGCAAAGGAGGCTGAGATCTGCTTAGCCCAACAAGTGCAGGAAACCAGTGAAATCAAGGCTGCAATGGAAAAAATGCAGAAAGATCTGGAGGAACAGCGGCAGCAGTTGGAGGAAGAAAAATCCCATTTTATGTCCAACCAACAACAAAGAGATGAGTGTGAGCAGCTGAAAAAGCAGTTGGAGTTACAGGAAGCTGAGTTAGAGCAGGGGAAAGCTTCTGCAAGAAAAGTCATGGATCTGGAAATTAGTCTGCTTGCTGAGACAGCCAGAACAAAGGAGGCTGAGATCTGCTTAGCTCAGAAAGAGCAGGAAACCAATGACATAAAAGCTGTTTTGCTCAAGATGGAACAAGATGTGAAGAACCAAACACAGGTCTGGGCCCAGGAAAAGTCCAGTCTCCTGACAGAGCAGCAGAACACTCTTAGAGATATGGAAGCAGCTATGAAACACCTTCAGGAGGTTCTGCATTGTGAAAGGCAGCTGTGGCAAACAGAGAAGTCCTGCCTTCAAGAGACAGTGGCAAACGCTAAGAAGGCTCTGACAGAGATGGAGGAGGAGAAGAAAAGATTAACAGAGAGCCTTATGGAGGAGTTCAAAAATCTGCAACAGGAGACTGAAAGATCCCAAGAAAGAAAACCAAAAAATAAATCTTTAAGGAAAAGAATTTTCAACCTCTTTCAATGCCATCAGTCAGAAAAATAATTTCTGCTAAACCTCAAGAAACTGTCCTCCAAACAAACTTAAAACTGAAAAAATATTTACTGAGCCCCAGATCTCAAACCTTATCACCTACACGCTTTACAATTACCCCCCAACACCCCCACCCCCCTTCCCTATAACCGTTACCCTTAACCCTTCCTTTAACCCTTAACTCCCCACACCCATTCACTAAATCCATAATCCAGTCCATAATATTTAGCCCTCACCCTCCATAAAACTCTATGGTTCCCTTTAAATAAAAAAGTACTGCCTCCATACCAGGGTCTTTTTCTAAGGTAGATTCCTACCTTGGTATTGATTAGATCCTGGTAAACAGAGTGGGGCTGCACGGTGGAGCAGTGGTCAGTGCTGTTCCCTTGTAGAAGGAGACCTTTCTGCATGGAGCTGCCATACTCTCCCGTGCCTGTGTGGGTTCTCTCCGGGTGCTCCGGCTAGCCCACCCTTACTTTGTCTTCTTACATCACACTCAAATGTATTTATACAATAAATATATATTTATTATAAATACAAACATTTATTGATGATACAAACAAAAATTTATTTAAAAAAATTCTAAAAAAAATCCAAAACACCTTTACACATACCTCCATTACACTTCATATATACACACACACACACACGCACACACACACACACACACACACACACACACACACACACACACACACACACACACACACACACACACACACACACACACACACACACACATAATAATCCTGCCACAAGGGGCCCACAGTCCTAATGTGCTCCTGGTGCTGGTCCCAAGCCCAGATAAAAGGAGAGGGTTATGTCAAGAAGAGAATTTGGTTTCAGTTATCAAGATAATATTCATACTGGTGTAACATTTTTTTAACATCTTGAGGGAAAGAGTGGTCCTTTACAATAGTTTTATTTTTAGTAATCTCTCTAAAAATAATATAAAATTACACAAAAGGCTTCTTAACATTCCATATATGAATTTTCCAGTATAAATGATTGGGTAGCTGTTAATGAGTAAAGCTAAGTGCTGAATTACAAAGCAAGCTTAAATCAGACAGCAACCTGGCTTTCACTAAGTTATTTGAAGACATTTCAACATCTATCCAGGAGTCTTTAGCCGGGCATACACTGTGCGGGCTTCGTCGTACAATCTGAGTTCACAGCTCACGATGTATGTGCAGCACGACCCTCTCATACGATCTACCTGCTCACACTGCACGACTAAAAAGAACGTTGGACTCAGCTCCGCAGTGATATGGAACTGCTCTGACTCGTCTATCTGGAAGCCAAACAAATAGAAGCAGAATATGAAGGCCACCATAGTGAAACGTGCTGCCTTAACTAATTGTGCAATTTTGTGCTGAAAGCCCTAAAAAGAAAAGGCGGCGAAATATTTGGGAAAAAGACATGACTGAGCAAACATGGCTACTATGGTCTGTCAATTTTACAGACATAACTGCATTTCACTCATTGCATCCCTGCCATGTTTCTGTGTTTACAGAAGAATCCTTGTTTGCGCATGCGCACTGAGCGATTCGCCCACGACGGTCAGGAGAAAATCAAACATGTTTGATTTTCCCCTGACCTCACGATTCCTGATCGGGAGGTGGTTGTGAGAGGCTTATCGCCCCTCGTTACCCCCTGTACACTACCAACTAACGAAACACGATGAAGCTGAAAGTCTGCCCGATCGAAAGATTCTCGCACGACTGGAAAATCACCCTGAAAATCATACAGTGTATGCCCGGCTTTAGTCATTTTGGTCGGCTTGCAACAGAGCAATCAGTAGTTGGACTGCTAATGTATTTAAGCAGCATGAAGGTCCATCCTACTAGGATCATTCCAAGCAAATAGCCATCCCTTGTTCTTCTGGGTGGCTGATTGGTCTGTGTCTGCCTAGGAAAGTGCTTGTATAAAAAGATAAATAAATAAATCTGCATGTTCTCTCAATGGTAGCTTTATCTCGTCTGTTCCTGTTTGGCTGCTTGTCCTTGCCTAAATAAAAGTAACGTTCCAATCTCTGCTGCAATGTAGGCAGTTGAAGCAGGGGTGATAAAAAGCAGTTGCCCGTCTACTCTAGACAAGGATAAACATGTCCTTAATGTGTTCAAGGTTCTCAGATCCTCCTTCTGTTGTGAGCTCCAGACAGTTGATGTCATGAAGAGAAAACAGTTGTTCTGAAATGTTTATCTGGATGGATTTATGTCTTTGGTGAATATAAGTTGTTTTCCTTCTTTTCTTCAAGTGTGTGAGAAAGCTCTTTTGTGCAGGGGTGGGTTTAGTTTCACGAGAGAGAGAGAGAGAGAGAGAGTGTGCTATGACCTATATCCAATCTTCCTTTCTTATCCAAAATTCTTGAGAAAGTAGTTGCCAAACAAGTTTGCGATCACTTCCACCATAATGAACTTTTTGAAGAGTTTCAGTCTGGCTTTAGAGCTCATCATAGCACTGAAACAGCTCTGGTGAAAGTCACTAATGATATTCTCATGGCCTCAGATAATGGACTTGTATCTGTGCTCGTCCTGTTGGATCTTAGTGCTGCATTTGATACAGTTGACCATAATATTCTTTTAGAAAGACTTGAATATTTTGTTGGAATTAAAGGAACAGCACTAGACTGGTTTAAATCTTATCTATCTGATCGAATTCAGTTTGTTCATGTTAATGATAGATCTTCAACACGCTCAAAGGTTACCTGTGGAGTACCACAGGGATCAGTGCTAGGACCAATTCTCTTTACTTTATACATGCTCCCAATTGGTAGAATTATTAGACAGCATGGGATTAATTTCCACTGTTATGCTGATGATACCCAGCTATATCTGTCTATAAATCCAGATGAAGCTAACCCATTACATAGATTACAGGCATGTCTTGAAGACATAAAAACCTGGATGACTCTTAACTTTCTGCTTCTGAATGCAGACAAAACAGAAGTTATAGTCTTTGGACCAGAGTCTCTGAAAAAGAAACTGATTAGCCAGTCACTTCATTTGGATGGGATTAAACTGATTTCAGATAATAAAGTAAAAAATCTTGGTGTTGTTTTTGATCAGGACCTGTCATTTAAATCCCATATCAAAGAGGTTTCTAGAATTTCCTTCTTTCATCTGAGGAACATTGCAAAAATTAGAAATATCCTGTCCAGGGGTGATGCTGAGAAACTAGTCCATGCATTTGTTACTTCAAGGCTGGACTATTGTAATTCTTTACTATCAGGAAGTCCACAAACTGTAGTTAAAAGCCTTCAGCTGATCCAAAATGCTGCAGCCAGAGTTCTAATGAAAATTAAAAAGAGAGATCATATCTCGCCTATCCTGGCTTCTCTTCATTGGCTTCCTGTTAAATCAAGAATAGAATTTAAAATCCTCCTTCTCACATATAAAGCCTTAAATGGCCAAGCTCCATCTTATATCAGAGATCTGATTGTTCCTTATGTTCCTAACAGAGCACTTCGCTCTCAATCTGCAGGTTTACTAGTGGTTCCTAGAATTTCTAAAAGTAGAATGGGAGGCAGATCTTTTAGTTATCAGGCTCCTCTCCTGTGGAACCAACTACCAGTTTTAGTCCGTGAGGCAGACACCCTGTCTACTTTTAAGGCTAGGCTTAAAACTTTCCTTTTTGATAAAGCTTATAGTTAGAGTGGCTCAGGTTATCCTGAGCTATCTCTAAAGTTCTGCTGCTATAGGCTTAGACTGCTGGAGGACATAGGGACCCCCATTTCATCATTCTGCTTCATTCTCTCTCTGTTCTCCTATTCTGCAGAATCTGTTAGTTCAATCTCTAACCTTCTGCTCTCTCTGCTTTTCCTCAGAGTAGCTTTGCCTCGTCTGTTCCTGTTTGGCTGTGACGTCATCCTGGAAAGAAACATCAGCTGTGCTGCTTCTATCAACACCCTTGTTTATAGATGTTGGAGATCGGCCTGTTTTCCAGTGTGGTCCTGTTTCTCTGACCGTGACTGAGTGGATGTGCTTTCTTCGTCCTCTGGCATGGGAGCTGCCTTGGAGCTCGTCTGCCTGGCTGTGTGTTTCCTGGACGGGGCCGCCTTTTACAGCTGCTTTTTGTATCTCTGCTTCTGTCTCCTTGAACCCCAGTCGGCCTCGGCAGATGGCCGCTCACACTGAGCCTGGTTCTGCTGGAGGTTTCTTCCTGTTAAAAGGGAGTTTTTCCTCTCCACTGTCGCTACAAGCATGCTTAGTGTGGGGGATTGTATTTGAGTCAATGAGTCAATGCAATCAACTGGTTTTCCTTAGATAGAAAACTTTGTATCAATTTGACTGTATGATCTGGTTGAACTGTAAAGTGCCTTGAGATGACATGTGTTGTGAATTTGGCGCTATATAAATAAACTGAATTGAATTGAATTGTGCTGGGAGTTCTGAAAAGTATAAATGTACACTCACCGGCCACTTTATTAGGTACATCTGTCCAACTGCTTGTTAACACTTAATTTCTAAGCAGCCAATCACATGGCGGCAACTCAGTGCATTTAGGCATGTAGACATGGTCAAGACAATCTCCTGCAGTTCAAACCAAGCATCAGTATGGGGAAGAAAGGTGATTTGAGTGACTTTAACGTGGCATGATTGTTGGTGCCAGAAGGGCTGGTCTGAGTATTTCAGAAACTGCTGATCTACTGGGATTTTCACGCACAACCATCTCTAGGGTTTACAGAGAATGGTCCGAAAAAGAAAAAACATCCAGTGAGTGGCAGTTCTGTGGGCAGAAATGCCTTGTTGATGCCAGAGGTCAGAGGAGAATGGCCAGACTGGTTCGAGCTGATAGAAGGGCAACAGTGACTCAAATAACCACCCGTTACAACCAAGGTGGGCAGAAGAGCATCTCTGAACGCACAGTACGTCAAACTTTGAGGGAGATGGGCTACAGCAGCAGAAGACCACACCGGGTGCCACTCCTTTTAGCTAAGAACAGGAAACTGAGGCTACAATTTGCACAAGCTCATCGAAATTGGACAATAGAAGATTGGAAAAACGTTGCCTGGTCTGATGAGTCTCGATTTCTGCTGCGACATTCGGATGGTAGGTAGGGTCAGAATTTGGCGTCTACAACATGAAAGCATGGATCCATCCTGCCTTGTATCAATGGTTCAGGCTGGTGATGGTGGTGTCATGGTGTGGGGGAATATTTTCTTGGCACTCTTTGGGCCCCTTGGTACCAATTGAGCATCGTTGCAACGCCACAGCCTACCTGAGTATTGTTGCTGACCATGTCCATCCCTTTATGACCACAATGTAGCCAACTTCATGGCTACTTTCAGCAGGATAATGTGCCATGTCATAAAGCTGGAATCATCTCAGACTGGTTTCTTGAACATGACAATGAGTTCACTGGACTCAAATGGCCTCCACAGTCACCAGATCTCAATCCAATAGAGCATCTTTGGGATGTGGTGGAACGGGAGATTCGCATCATGGATGTGCAGCCGACAAATCTGCGGCAACTGTGTGATGCCATCATGTCAATATGGACCAAACTCCCTGAGGAATGCTTCCAGCACCTTGTTGAATCTATGCCACGAAGAATTGAGGCAGTTCTGAAGGCAACCCGTTACTAGCATGGGGTACCTAATAAAGTGGCCGGTGAGTGTATGTGCTTAGGATGGTTAAGTCAGAGCTTTTATATACTCTCCGTCTCACCTAAGGATTTTAAATAAATTTGAATATTATCTCTTGCAAGAAATGCTTCCCACTAAGTTTCCTAACTTCACACGACATCCTGTAGATAAATATCAGCTGGCCTGCAGCCATCCACACTTGGGGTTTCAGATGATAGTGTTGGGTTAGTAACTGATTTATCTCTGGAAGGTGAGGCAGCAACTGAGGTAACTATTACCCCGTTTACACTACCCTTAAAAAACTGAGCCGAGACCGGTCCGAGCTCAGTAACTGAGATAACTTGTCGTGTGTGAACGGAAACAACCTGAACTGAACCGAGATAGACATAACCGGACCGCGCTAACTGCAGACCAGTTCCCGAGGTGGGTTCGGCTCGGTTTTTTCCTGGCTCGGTTCTCTGATAACAAGAGCGCATGAGCAGAACGCGTCATCGCCGACTGGCTGAACATGCCGATTCACACTCCATTCAAGTACATCCGCGCAAGGTTGCCATCTTCGCCTGACCCACCGCAAACACGGAAGTACAGCAATAATAATCAAGCA